TGTCACTGACATGCGTACGATCGTACTCTACGATTACATGGTGAAAAAAACTTCACAAGCCATTTATAAACCTGCAGTTTGATTTACTGAACGAAAAGAACGGTGGCACGTTCACATTGATCTGGCCTAAAAAGGCTGTACTGCCGCCGCAAGCAGCAACAAAACATTTACTTTGGAATATGTCGTTAGACCTACATTTGTGATAAGCTGTCAAGAAAAAGATTCGATCCAACTGTTTCTCTCGAATACTTTGACCATGCGTTTATTTCGAGGGTTCAACCACAACTGTATTACTGCATTGTTTGCTCTATTTCGAGCACATGTAAATATATACAGAGGGTATTAAATGGCAATAAAGCGACGTACCTAGATGTCGCTATATGTACACAGAAGTTCGCCGACAGTATAATGGCCTACATTTGATGACGACCATGTTTGAGAATATGTAATATCTATGCAAAGTAGAATGAGAACTAATGACACAGGCGTACTTGGTGTTGAATGCCAAGTGATCGACTATCATAAATGAGGAGAGCAAGGGAAAGCCGAGATTTTTTGTAACAAGTACCGGATACACGGAGCAGAATGATTATAAACAGTAGAAATGGAAATGGAAGCATCCTATGGACGAATCACTCCATCGGTAGACAGTGGAAGACGTAAATCAGATCTTTCGCTCTTTCACGAGACGTTTACAGATGGCAAAACTGAAACAGACTGAGTAAAACAACGAATCTACTGAACTGGCACATAATTTCCGGACCATTATACATGAATTGATGTGGAAACCTTATGACTTAGCTGGGGTTTCGCTACTTACCTGGCCTGATGCCTACGCTAACATCGTAAGACCTAACATTGTAACCTTCGCAATAGGCCATTTGTGCTCATATTCTTGAGGGATAAAGAATAGAGCCTTTCGGTGTTACTCAATCCCGTCTGAGCGATGCGTCCTCTATTCAACTCGCACACAGAATCCAGAGGCGTATTAGATGCGTACTTGGCCCATAAAGACTTGCGGTGGCTAGCCAACACACTAGTCAGTGCTTTTATCCTCCCAGGCGAGTCGTGTACTAACTAGTCGACCTCAAAGGGAAGAAAAGCCTGGTTGGCGTAGGTAGATATCGAGCCGGGATTCAAACCAGTGGCCATGTGTGATAGTGCACCACTTGCCACTGCATCACCTCCGCCATATTCTCAAAAATTACGAATAAAAATCACTTGAAGCTGAAGCTGTTTGGAAAATTAATCAGAATGCGGGAGTAGGTGCACTCCAACAAACAATTGTGAATCGGTTAGAATCGGTTGGAAAAATGACGTCTTTTTCCATAAAGATCTACGGTTCGGCCTTCCACTTACCTTCGGCTTCAATACTTTTGGTGAAGTTGTTATTCCATACGGAATTACCTTGTTTGGTAGAAAGCATCGTATACAGTAACCCAACAATAATCACCCACGTCCATAAATTGCGGAAGATCTGGAAATGTAGCCTTGAGGCAAGACTTGCTGAGCCACCAACACTTTGGCACACGATCTGACATCATTGTACCTGGACTGGCTGTCTAACATGGACACTGCTGGTGAGAATTAGGTAGTTTCCCCAACGAATTCTGCCATTAACAGCGCTTCTGCTTCCCCGAATCTGAATTTACAAAGACCAAAACCTTACTCCGTTCAGAAGAGGTTTGTCTATGGTGAAGAAGGGTTCTTCACCGTGAACCTTCACCTAGCAAAGCTACACTCCATGCAAATTTCCTTTTTTTAAGCTCCACTGCGTGACCTTTAAGTTAAGTGGAAAACAAGACCAAGCTTGCCTTCTTAATGATAACACTTGGCCCTCCATCGCTTAAGAAACTCACAAAAAAATTGAAGACGCTTGGCTGTTCAAATCTTTGTCCACTCTGTAGTCATGGCCTTGCACTGCCACAAATTCACTCCTTGAACTACTTTCTGAAAGGAAATGCATGCTAACAGCCTGAACCTAAAACCGAAATGCAATCTTCCTCTAGCCAGAAGGGAACGTAGTTATACGGAAGTCAAATACCCAAGCGTTGCCGCTATGTTGTAGATAGTGCATATTGTATTTGATGAATATGTCTAGAGAAGAAAAAAAAAACAGGGAAATTGAAGATCCAGGGTCCGGAAAATATGTGCCAACCCAATGAAGTCACAACGTAAGGAAGTCGGTTGCATTCGTAAATCCAAAAAAGAGTTCACAGCTTTTAAATGAACTCTTTTATGAGAGCTCTCAAGTTATCGTTACCACAATAACGGCTGGGTTTATAGAATGTTTGCAGATTGAATTCTTTATGTGCATATCTGACAGAAACCAGTCTTATCACCTGTATATCAAGCTGCAGGCTTTTTCGTACAACACAGTGTTTGATTACCGATCAGAGAATTAGCCATGGAATAGTCGATGACAAGAGTGCTAAATATGTTGGAGAAGAAAAGTTTGTTCTTGTCGTTACGGAGACGACTGCTCGTCGCTCTGCTCAACCAAACACAAACTTCGATCTACTAAACAACCAGGCTGAGAGCAACCGATCCACAAAGCCCAGAGACAGATAGATGCCTTGCCTCATCGTGCGAATTCATCCTGAGAGAAGACATCTGTGAAGCCCATTAGAAAGAATATGCTCGTCTATTGTGAATCGGTGCATCTATTCAAGAGCATTCTGCGATCGTATTCAATCAGCCAAAATGATCTCATGGGAAATAAGGAAGAAGAAGAGCCCGTGGGGCTTGGAGAACAGTATTCTCCAGCGAACAACCATTAGACCACCAGTGCACTCGCAGATCGGCTCGTGAAAAGCTAGCTTTCAACAGATGATTCGAAACAGGTGTACTTTTGCACACCGCGACGGATTCTGACACTTCAGTGACGACGGCTTTGCACATGGGTAGTGGGCTTGGCGATATAGTCCGGGTGGTCAAAGCCTCTCACACGTACCTGGGGTGCAGGCAGAGGTCAAAAGCAGTTCGAATGACCACTCCTGCGTTGCCTCACACAGTGACATATTTCCTAACGAGCGAGAAGGAGGCTGCAAGGCGTCGAGCGTGACTTACTTCATTACATGGAAGCTATTGGGACGATTACACAGTTGAGACCTATATTTAAATCTGCAAGATGAATGCCTGACCATAATAAACAAACTGTACCGCGCCATGTGGCCTCCCACTATCATCGACTTAAAGTTGAGGGACAGTTCAGAAGAAACCCACCCACTGTGAAATATCCACCACTATAAATTTGAGCCAAGTTGCCTGTCGTGAATTAAGAGACCCGTCTAGGTATCTATAGCCTATGTTCAAACGAAGCTGAGGTTTGAAAGGTCTTTTGATTGTGATGAACTTCACCTCAGGCATCGATACGCTATGCCGAAATTCATTGTAAATCGAACATAATCACTTCTGAGCGATGCACCATCTAGTTGTAAAGGAGCTCTCTCGTTACGCCATAGCTGGTCTACTCGTTTTTCATAAAACATCCTTTTATCTAATGCTTCCCTTGATTTGCCAGTGAAGAGAGGTTCAATAACCATGAAACTGTGGATGGAAACCCAGATTAATCGATAGTTCTGAATGCAGTTTACGAATATGGAAACTGAAATTGCAAACGGCCTTCCCAAAAGGTTATGGGAGCTCAAAATTCGCTCGCCAGTAGTGTCAATTGCAAATGCGAACTCGTCGCTTCGAAATCAATAGTCGTCGTGGTAGTGGTCTCGCTCCACAACGAAGGATGCGCGCTTGTTCCCCGCCATCGCACAGATTTTTGCACAGTGTTCTTTCGTTGCACTGAACGCTTTCAAAACCTTTTCTGACATTTGTTTAGGTGAACGTTTTATTTCCGCTTTCATTTGCGCTTGTTGCACCTATTCGAGGAAGATGGTTCTGCACGTTAACTGCATGACTCTGTTTTATTTTAAACGGCAACATACATTCTACAGAAAAATGCCGAGAGATGTATAAGCTGTCTTTAAGTAACTCAACGCTGATGGAAAAACCTGAAAAAGTCCGAAGACAAAGTAGTCAATCGTCTCAAGATTGAACAAATATCGCCAGGGGTGACACAAAAGGCTCGGTTTTTTTCCGCATATCCAGCTGCGTACCGAGGATATTTCGAAAAATTCGAGAAACATCATAAACACTTATGGTCTCTCTGGATTATATTAAATTCCGTGTTGTTCATCGTAGAGATTTGAATCCTCTCAATCTTGAGACGACTGTTTGTTTTGCCCCCGGTTGTAGAGAAGCAGCATGTATAAGTGAACAGTTTGTGAATAACTATTGTGCCTGACACATTTTTTAGGTTTTTCCATCAATGTTGAGTTCCTCGCAAGCATCTTATACATTTCTAGCATCTTTCTGCTGAATGTTTCTTGGAATTCAAAATAAAACAGAGTCATAGAATAAATATGTGCGACAAGCGCAAGTGAACGCAGAAATGAAACGTTCACAAAAGAAATGTCAGTAAAGGTCCTGAAAGCCTTCATTGGAACGAAAGAACACTGTGCAAAAATCTGGACGACGACGAGAAGCAAACCCACACCCTCTGCCTGCGAAGAGAGACCATTTCCACGACGCCACGTCGACGCTTGATATCGAAGGGAGTTCCCATTTACAGTTGACACCACTGCCAAGCGAATTTCGAGCCCTCAACACTTCTTTAGGAAAGCTGTTTTGCAGTTTTGAATTTCGCATTCATATAGACTACATACGAGGCGCTATAGCTTTATATGGGCCCCACATTAAGTTCCACGGGGTAAATAAACTGCCCCCCTTGGTTAGTAGTATTTTCCATCCAGTGGAACCAAGAAACTGGGTGTGTGACACTATTCTCGATCTGCATTACTGCACGAGATATTCCGTTAGATTGTACTACTCGTCTTACTGCGCAGCATGCCGTTCGAGCATAGAGCCCATGAACCCGAATAAATGGAATAGACTGACACATTCGGTTAAAATCTGCTAATTAAGAATTGAATAATTCAAAGCATTCATTTAGTTTCAAATAAAGTCCCATTCAAAGGGGGAATCAGTAAATTCACCAACCCGATCGCTGCTCCGATTACAAACGTGACAATGTTCGACACGACGAAGCCAACTACGACATGGAGTGGCATCGACTTCGGTTCAACGTCGTATGCAAACACCATCGTAAGCTCAGGTTCCGGTGAATTAGGCGGTGTTGTGAGATTCGAACCGTATTGCTTCATATGGACACATCTAGTAATGGCACTGATAACAAACAACATATAGACCAAGTTACGAAACAACTAAGGCAAGCGATCATTTAGCCTTGTATATTCATGGAATCTCCCTTCCCACTTCTAAAACCTTAGTACGCGTTTTGAAACGACAGAAAATATAAAGCGACTTGCAAACTCAGTGACACTGCTTATGAACGACAGTGTTCTTAATATAAATGAACCACGAAAGTCGATCTGTTTGATGGTTTGTCTGTCTGTTTGTCTGTATATCTGTTTGTAGCCACTTGAATGGCACCATCAAATCGAACTGGAGCACCTAAGCCAGGTTGGTACTGGGGAATGAACCAACCTGCATGACAACATGTATTCCAGACTGGACTCCGCCCGCTGGGGGCTGAGCGTGCGCAAAAAGTGTAGTTCACCGAGAATCTATAACTCTTGCTCTCCTGGGCCTAGACTCTTCAAACTTGGAATGGGTTTAGGTGGCAAGATGGGGATACCGATGTCACGTGAAGGAGGCAGGCGTACGTGAAAAATTTTATTTTGACCTGGGGCGCTCACATTTGATCGAGGTGCAGGCGGCAAGAAAGGGAAACTGATGGCACGGCATGTATAGACTCCACCTACTGGGGGCGAGGCTTGCACGAAATTTGTTAATTTGAACCTGGGGCGGTCACCTTTGGTGGAGATGCAGGTGGCTGGATGGGAGGACTAATGGCGGGCGGCAGGAATGGAGTCCGTAGAGGCGCAAGGGGAGCGGGAAATCCACAATCGACAATACTATCTAAAGGCCTCCTAGATTAGATTATGTATGTATTATGTAATTCATAACTTGGCTCCCTTCACACGTGTGGCTTTCATGTGTGGTAGGGATGCACTGACCCGGTGGGGATATCCTGCTGTGGGCCACTACATCGATATGCTATATCAATCTGTTGTGCAATTGACCGCTCAATCGCAATTTTGTTTCATTTAGTCGTACAGTGTTCTAAGTCATAAAAAGTGGGAGAGATGGGTTAGGACAGTAGTTATAAACTAACGGACCATCGATAATATAACCGAATTTGACCAGTGTATTTTTGTACTTGCACTCGTTGTATGGCTGCTGCTAACTACTCATCTTTTCGCGAACAAAAGGGAAGGCTAATGATAGGCCTCAGTGAGGCATTTCAAGCACAACATGAGAAGGAATAAAGCTCGCCATTGTTCAAGCGATCCGACTGTCTTTTGCAAATCCCATGAACCTGTCCGTAGAGAGTTTTACTGTTCAGCCAGGTCCGAGGGTTTTCTTCCCTCTGCCTTCACTGCAGAGCACTCGTTTTCAAAAATAAAGAATTGTGTAGAACCCCTACTCTTCATGGTTGTTGTGCAATTTGCGCAAGATTCCATCGCACAATATAATGTCCACCGAGATCATCGATTGGTATGTTATCAAGTGCCTGCTTCGACAGCGTATAAATAACAGAAGTGCAAAGAAGTTCCCATTCCATCTTCGGTGAAGTGCAAGCATTCCACAGTGGTCACGGGATTAATAAGAAAGCAAGTGATTCCAAGACCCTTCCTTGATTTTTAGAACTGTCTCGGTTAAGATATGAAGGCATAAACGAATGTGGATGGTCGCCAAGTGCAGTTTGCTAGAAATGAGGGCTCTCGATAGACGGCTTATGACGTTGCTCGTTAGAGTGAGACAACGGTTCTCTCAATTTTCAGGGAGTGGATGAATTCTGTGTTGCTAAGACGATAACGTCATCTGCAAAGAAATTCACTTATTAGAAGTCACGAGACGCGCACTCCTATTTTCATACTCTCATTCTCTTTGAAAATGCCCTTAAAAAAGTTTTTTCCAACGCATGCCTAAGTAGGTGAGTCGATCTTTCTATGAAACGGAATAGTCATTTGAAAGCAAAACACTGTATCAAACTTCACAGAGGTAAAGAATATGAGAGAAACCTAAAATTCCCTTTTTTCACCAAGGATATCATACACCCGAGTATTCTCTCAGGTTTATTCCACTCCTTACTATCCATACCCTGCTCTAATCAAAATTTTTCGGAAGATATCTAAAAAAATCACGGAGCAACAGAGATTCAAACGTACTTTGGTGGATGCGCTTCTGGCCTGCTGCTCCAATCCCATATCCAATCGGTGTTCTTCCCTGACGACAACATATCTCTGACAAGCCGGTATTTCACCTGTTCGAGGTTGTCAAACTCGACATGTGGTGATTGAACGGAGACAGGACTAGAAATGACACAGAGTATATGAAGTATAGGAGAACACTCTAACCAAGATGACATAATAAATATTCCTCATTGCATATTACACGCTCGCCTCTATCCGCCTGTATGCCTGCCTGTCTGCCTGTCTGTCTGTCTGTCTGTCTGCCTGAATTACCTAGAAAGGTCTGATCAAGCTTGGAATGGGTTGAGCATAGGGTAAGTACAACTGAGTACATGTAAGCCCAGCGGAGTCCCGCTTTTAAGGGGCGGGGCAAACACCGGAGCTTGGCGATGCTGTGAGCAAAGATTCGTGATGTGGTCTCATAACAGTCCAGACACCGGAAAAAGTGAGCAAAGGGGAGGGATGGGCCAACAAATGAAATGAAAGAGGCTCACCGACAGTGGGCGGAGAGTTCTTGCACTGGGCGATTTTTCCCACACGAACTCATAACTCGATTCTACGAACGCGTGGAGGATAGGAAACAACGAAAGGAGTGAGCGAGAGCTTATACTAGGTATGCATTGACTTAGCGAAACTCCGCCCGTGGTTGGTGGGGCGTGCGTTGAGGTAGAAACTTTTTTCAAAATTACGTAGAACTCTGTACAGAAACGTTCTAAAGTGCGGAAAAAAAGGATCAAACTTCGTGTCTTTAAGAACGCGGGAAGAAGTGGTTAGAGGTCACAGAAGCAATGTTCAGGTTTTAAAAGTGGACTAATCTAACTCCAAGACGCGAGGCACCGGGAAAATTGGCAAACGTCAGGAATACGGACGGAAGACTCATCCGCGGTGAACAGAGCATCTTCGTCCTTTTTGCATCAACTCATAACTCAACACAGCCTCTAGACAAATTATTAAGGGATGACGCGCAGATGAAGCTCAGCGCAAAGGAATCTTATTTGTTTGACGCATTTCTCTATTTGACGCGTTCTTTGTTGTGACGCACGCGTTTGTGTGCGAAGCCCAACTGTAGAGTGTGACTCATTTGCTGACCAAACGTGTAAACACTTCGGGGAGCAAGTGAGTCCCAAGCAACAACCAAATTATTATTACATGAACGATCTGATCAATAGAAAAGATCCCCATATTCTTCTCAGCTTGTAATGAAAATGGGGGGTGGGAAACCAAGGGGGGGGGGGGGGGAGAGGGGAAATCGGAAATCATGTGGGAGCCTAGATTGAAGGTTCTACTGCTGGCCATTGCCGCGACTATCCGTCAAAAGCCGTAGCTTCTAAGCTCTATCACACAAACTTTGAGAAGTACAAATTGTTTGAATTATTAATTCTTTCAGCGTGCAACATTATTCGTGTTAAAGGTGCCGCTACGCTCTCCAATGGTGAATCCTTTCCGTTTTGCTGATAATTTTCTCACAAGAGGACCCACTCAAGATAATAAAAAATCTATTATTAAACAAATAACCTTTCCTTATAAAGTAGAATCTCCTGCTCCTGAGGAGGTGATACGCGGCGTTGTTGCGTCCGCAGTAAGAGTAAAAAACCTGTTCTAAACGCTAAAGGCCGACATGGACCTCTGCAAAAGGTCAAAAGGCCCTCTAGATTCTGCGCCTGGCAGTCCAGGTTGTGACATTGCGAAGCGGTGCACCACGTCTGTGATGAATGTAATCAAATGTCTTGCGGTCTCTTCCAACCATACTTGTATTCAGTGACACTCTGACACTCAAATGCTTTTACCGCGTGGCCGCGCGGCATGTGATAAATAGAGTGGTGGGTTGCTCGCCCAAAAATCTCTTGTGTGATTTGCCACGCGGATAATCTCTTGAGTGTTCTGCTTAGTTCCAACATTTATTAGTAGAACCCAACACTAACAATTGAGTCATCTTCTTCTCCTGTACTGATCATTGTGTCGTCAGATATGCGCGTGGTTATTACAACCAGGCATTGAGTATTGCGGAGACGACCACCAGCGCATTGTTGGATTGGAGCCACTATGGCCAAGAATCCCGAGTGAGGAGGCTACCGGATATTTATACTCCTCGGCCGGGTTCAAAGATCAGTGTTCAAACCATGCGTAGTTATTGACCGCAACATGTTGATGATGTCAAAAGTGCAACATAGATCACGTCCGCCTGTTGGTGGTCGATCCTCCATCTCGACCAATGAGTATTAGTGCAGTTATTGCTGCGTCTGCATGAACGGAATAAGTTCTTGTAGATATTGTAGCATTTGCTATACAGCGTGGCCATCATTATCTCCATAATAAATTTAATGCACGCCTCTTTCCATAGTATCCATCCAGCCCATCGTTGAGGCACTATGAGGCTCCCTTCGCCGTATCCGATGATATGTGGGAATTATGTGAAGGCTCGCATCACTGCCATTGCTTCCCGAAAATACTGGTCTTGGTAACTTACTCGGAGATTCCAGGACACAAGTCAATGGGATTGTGCAACTCTTAGGATCTCAGTTGGTCGTGAAACCACTTCCAACGGAAATCTCATCTTCCAATGCTTTCAAAATGAGAAAAACTACCCTTGACTAAATGCGTGTAATTACCTTTACTTTCGAGGGAATTTCGTAAAGTAGGAGCAATGTTAATTCATTTTGTCCACAACACCCTCTGTTTAACCGTTAGAAATGTAATGAAAATTTTTGGAAGGCTCGCATGCCCAAAACATGTAGGAAAGTTGTATATAATAGGCTGAGTAAAATGTTTTGGCCCACTCTTTGTTCATCTCTAGATTCTTACGGAAGGCCACTTAGAAGGATTTCATAATAGGTTATGGTAGACCGTTCCCGAACGTGTACTTTATGGGTATATATGAGCATGTCCTCGTAAGTGCTTCGCAATTATGGCTTCAACCTTCAACGACCCACCGAAGCTATCTGAGAGTTATGGTCTACTACAAAGTTCGGTAAGGGCATAACAGATCGGCAGCTGTCGCAAAGATCTGTGGCGCACTCGGAGGAGACACCGTATCCAAACCCACGAGTACCTGTGGCGAAGCACCTTCAGGAGAGAGAAGTGGACGGAAGTGTTTACAGCTGGTGGTGTTCTCAGGGAATGCTCTACTTTGTGTTACTCCCTGAGGGTTCCACAGCGATCGCCGAGATTTAATCTCCTCAGCTACAGTTTGGACGACGTTATTCGAAGGAAGCGCCCGCAGAGAGGGAGTGTTTGTCTTCTTCACGACAACACTCGACCGCATTTTGCGAAACCTCTAGTCAGAAAATTGCCGAACTTGGATGGGAGGAGCAGTCCCATCCTTCTCATTCACCAGATATTGCTCCGTCTGATTACCATCTGTTTCATGCTCTTAAACATCATCTTCGCAAAAAAAAAACTGATGGTCGCTCCTAGCTCGAAACTGAGATTTCACGGTTTTTCGATTTGCGGCCGCCGCACTGCTGGGCTCCTGTATGGAGACTACATTACTGACTGAAATCCTTTTTTAAGGAGTATAAGAGCTTCTGAAATAAAGGTGGAAAATCGATCACAACTCTCTAATCAACCTAATCAACTTTGCAAAGCTCTGCAATAATTGAATGAGCTCTCTCAAACGCCATAGAGCCAAAGGATCGCAACGGATGTTACTGTTGACTCAATGTTACCATTCATTTTTAATAGGTGCCTTCACACATCCAACTCTTACAATGAAATGATGTCGCCACACTTCTACTCGTCCACCGTCAAAACGGAATCTTTGTTTCCACAGCGTCATTGTTCTTCACCGGTGTTCTCAAGCAAAAATGAAAATAGTCGAGCTATTGTTCTGTCATCGCATTTGGTTGAATATCATTAAAGGCCAGGAATAGGAAACGTGCTTTATTTGATAGCAACCCACCACTCAAAAGTTAAGCTGACAAAAGAGTCATGGATAATACCTTAGCCTCGAATCTTTGTCCTTATGCTCATCCACTGACACCATCGAGGCGTCAACACTGCTACATAAGCTAGTTCGACTCGGCGCTAGCTCAACCCAAGATTCTATAAACAAGGTGGTACTGAGGGATAACGATTAAACAATGAATGGGTGCTCTCAGAGTTTAGCGACGTGTTCCATCAGACGACCGACCCACCGACCGCTCGTGTTGCTCGTGATTGCTGGGCTCGTGTTGACACGGCAGGACAGATTGCGCTCAGGGCCGCATGGGCGGTATCGATCGGTGTCAAGCGTTGGCAACGCGTGGCCAGTAACGCTGCCGGTCGGTCGGTCATCGGCTGAAACAATGCACGCCGTTGAACTATGAAAGTACCCAATACTCACCATAGAGGATAATGTACAATGACTATTATTGTGTAAACTACCTGGCACACTATCGGAGTCTTCAAACTTTTCAGGGACTCCAATGTGTTTTTTAAAATTGAACATCTCTGGTTTTGCGAAATCAAAGAATGGCATGGTCCACCCGCACTGAAAGCCAACTAACAGCAAACGAACGGTATCAGAATAGCTTTGTCGATTGGAACTGAAGACAGTTCCATGAAACAACGACAACAAGAAGTCAATATAACCACTAAGGGATTTCTCATTTAAGGCTTTGTTGGAAATCTTGACCTTTGATGAGAAACGAAAATACAATACGAACACGTGTGTCACGTTCAAATCGAAGAAAATTCTGCGATCCCAATTATGTCCTCATTAGCATTTGAACGCAACGTAGGCTTGCCTGCGTTCAAGCGGTCTTGGATGACGATGGATTGTTCGTAAAGTAACTGCGATCCATCGTTCGTGAAGTAATCGTAATCTATGAAAATGAGTTTTTCAAATGCATGTAAAGGACCTACTCAGAAAATCGAAAGCTTTTGATTTGACATGTGGTGAGGTATATGTTTATACGTTATTTACGGAAAGAAAAACGGATTACATTTCCATCCGTAACTTTTGAATCAGTTCGAACATGGAATGTCAGATGAAGAATTTTAGCCACATTTCACTTTTTCAATTCTATCGTAGAAAGAGCTGATGATGCACTCCATGATATGTATATGTAAACATAATCTAACAAACAATGCCTTGCCACATAGCCCATGTGAAAACGATTCATAAATTTCCCTTTGTGCAAAATTTCAGTTCAAGACATGCTGACCAATGGTTGCTAATAATGATCTTGTTGATGGCATCAACTAATGCTGATCGTCATGTATTAGTATGAGAAGTTGCTGAGAAGATCAACGCAACCATGGGAATAGTTACCAAGAATATCGAAAAATTTGATCTAGTGAAAAAACTAGTTGTTCAGTTACCAAATGGGTTAGAGTAGATTCAATTGACATTAAAAGCCATTTGCGCCTCAAATGCAAGGAAACGATTCATTTATGAAGCGAATAGTAGCTAGTGACAAAAACTGCATTGTTACGATGATGCTACTCTCAAAGGATCACGGTCATTACCGGAAGAACCTGCTCAACTGGTTTGATTGGATCATAAGGGGGCGATGTTGTTTCCAGTCGGATCGCCCGGCTGAGGCCGGGCTTCCCTTCTCGTCTCTGGTACAAAAGAGCATAAGTTGAATATTTCCGGCGAAACACACATACACACACGTCACACACACGCACACGCACACACACATACGCACACACTTCGACACACACCGACACCCACACAGCGGCACACACAAACAGCGACATACACACCGACACACATACCAGCACACACTCAGAAGCTTCAAAGCTGAGAATACGAAGTCTCAGGAGAGAAACAAATATTCGCGCGCGGCACATGCTTCGCACACTTTTCTCCGATCGAAGGGTGTATGGCGTGGAAAAATCTTCAGATCTCAGAGTACACGTTTGTTCCCTTTACGAGTACCGAAACCGATAGGAAGGGTAAGATCAATTCTCGCAGCCATTTCCCCTCTTCCATGATGGTTTGTGCTTCAGTTTGTGCCATCTGAGCGACACCACTTTTGTCAAGAGTAATGTGAAAATTAACAAGAACCTTTTTCAGTGACAATCCTACTATTTATACACAACGCGCTAATGTTTGTGTGTGCCCAACGGGGAAATTCATAACTCCTGTCCCGTGTGTCTAAAGCGTTCCGACTTTAGTAGTACAGGCGGCAGTAGGGAAACACCGATGGTCTGTCGCAGAAACGGACTTCACCTACAGTGGGCGAGGTTTGCGAGAAATATAAATGTTCGAGTGGAAATTCATAACTCCTGTTCCCGTGGACCTAGAGCGTTCAAACTTGGCGGCAGTACAGGCGGCAGGATGGGAACACTTATGATAGGTGGCAGAACCAGACTCCGCCCGTACGGGGCATAAGCGAAAATTGCCAGTATGAATTCCTACGCTTAAATACGGTGGGAGTACAGGCGACAGGACGAGAATACTTACGGTTGGACAAAACTCCACCCACATGGGCGAGATTTGCGCGAAAATAATCAGTTCGGTCCTAGAGTTTTCAAATTTGGTAGGAGCAAAGGCGGCAGTATAGGAACACTTAAGGTGGGGGCAAGAACGAACTTTGCTCACGGGGAGGGACAAGTTTGCGCGAAGCAAATGTTTGAACGGAGACCTAAAGCTCCTGTTTACGTGGAATTGGATCGTTCAAAACTGACAGGAATACAGGAGGCAAGATGGGAACATTGAGGAAAGGATGGGAACAATGGCGATAAAAGAGCCCTTGAAGAGCAAAAATCACTCATCAATTCCTAACGCCTTTCTTATTTAGGTTCTAGCTTGCCTATGTGATATTCGACAAAAAGGATAAGTGGAGTGATAGTGATCGATCAGGGGAACAAATTGTAAGGAGATGAAAATTGGTTCATTACTTGCTTTTAGGTTACGACCGCTTCCCAGCAAAGTTTGTGACTCAATGAAGGATCACGATTTCGCTTTGCCTCGATATCACTCTTGATAGAATTTATCCGACCGCTAATAATCTTGGATTCTCACCAAATCATATATCCGTAGAGAAGTACCAAAAGAACTAAGTGATATACCTGTATCCGTTTTATTGATAACGACATTTAATTACAGTCTTATCATCACTCAACAACATTTGAAGGGAGGCAAAGCAGCACAGAATGAAGGTTGAATGTTGTGTGCAGGTGTAATGGGAAGGTTGCGCAATAGAATCGATCTATGAAGTTTCTGGTGCTAGAGCTACAACTGCAGAACTGCAAAGGTAGAATATTGGACGAACTGAGCCGTATGAACTGAACACTCTCAAATAGGTTGTAGCAGGTGGCCGTTGAAATGTTGGAAGCGCAGATTAATTTCCACATACATAGCAAGGTTTGATGTAGTGTAGGTAATTAGCAGCTGCATATAAAGCAATGAATCACCTGTTCGAATAGTACTTTTAACTTCTCAAGTGTTAACTTAGTGCGACTCCGTGGAAAGTTCTGAGGAAGTGTGAAATGTTTTTCTGAACCGCTGAAGGCGTTCAGGGACCCCTAAAAGGCAAGCAACCACGACATTGATTATCGCTGCTGTAAAGCTTGTTTGAGATCAGATAAGTGAATGTTTCGCTCCTCTTCGTATTTCACATTTCACCTGTGAAAGAAAGAACATTAAAGTCATATAAAAATTTTACTCGTTTAGAAAAAATAGATCTCCTTCATATGCTACACTTCGTCAACGCTGCTACTCACTTATCTTTTATTATAGTCGCTTAAAGGCACCGTTTACGATAAATTTAGGGTACACTTTTTTGACGGGAATTCATAGAACTACTCTAGAATAAAGCGATAACAACGAAAAAAGCCCAAAAACGATGAACAAAAGGAAATAGAAAGGGTCAAAAAAGAGCTGGAAAGGGAGGTTGGACGAGTTTCACACTGGAAGAACGGCGGTTAAGGGAGTGTTCGGGCGAGTGCAGGAAGGCGACGCGATGTCTGCAATAGCAGACAACACACCCAAGCAGACAACTTCGCCCAATGCGAAAGTGATGAACGGCAATTAGATTTCGTAGTCAGCCTAGCGAGGGGCGGAGGCCTCCCGTCCCCCACTGTTCCTGCCTTTATAGTGCCCTATCCAGACCTTTTTCCGACCTCATTCCTGCACAAATGGTATCAGAGGGGGCGTCGAATTCAAACCATGTACAGATCTCCGAAACCATTTTTTCGTGAACAGTGCCTTTAATAGCGATTCGGGGAAGAGAATACCACTCGAGTCTTCAAAACTAATCAAGACCCACTGCACCTGAAAAAGAAGGATACTCGCAGTAGCTGCTTAAGATGAGTGGTTTACCGCCGTTGTTTTCGAACGCTGATCGAATATGCAAAACGATGCCGGGAACATAGCTACATATCCGTCTCACCCCTAATATATTATTGTGTTTAACATACAGTCGAACCGAGGAGCAGGCTAGCCTTGTAAGGGTGCAGTTTGGAAAGTATTGGGCTCATAGGCATGGCATTAAAGTTCGAATCGTCCATGCATGTGCTCATTATGCTTTACAATAAACGTGTCCCAAAGATTGAAAAAGGTTTTTACGCTTTATATTGACTGTATTCGACCATTTGACACATTTGAGGAACTCGTGAAATGGTTTAAAATGAATTTTTCTTCGCTATCGCTGAAAAAGTAGAAGTGCCCTCCCGGCCCGACCACTCGTGATGGTGTTAAGAAATTTCAGACAGTTTCATGTACTTTCGACAGACAGAGGGCGGTCGAATGAACCATGTGACGAGGGACCTTTTTGAAAAAAATCCACCTACTGCTTGCATTGAAGTTGCCCTCTATGAAGCCTTCATTATTGCTTTCCAGCGATTCAGTGGAAAGAGTCGTGCGATGAATTCTTGTACCCTTTTCGGGATGACTTCTTCCTTCAAATTCTCCGCTGATATTTGAAAGTCGACTAATCACTCCGCTTGTTTCGCACCTAGTAGTCACAACCGCGTGAGAATCATCATATGTAAAATTAGACTAGTTTGAGAATTAACGGTTTCTTTTGTCTCCGTAACGTCCGTAGACGATTATCGGATATAAAACCTGCTTTCAGGAGAGAGCGGCTCTTTTCAGCACTCGAACGACGAGAGGATATAGATTCTACTACCAGCACCATAAAATTAAAGTTAATGGGCGACATCACGAAGTTGTAATCAACCTTCCACTTTGAAATTCTATTTTTATCCTCGAGAAAGAACAATATTCCAATCGCGAACTGATGAGTCTGTCGCCATTTTTAAGTGACTAGTGTGAATCATTTTTCGCTTACTCATCTTCTTCGCATACGATACGATGTTGTTGTCGAACACAGCACCAAAAGGTGTAGACGAAAAACTCTTCAGAACCTTCCGTTCCTACCAAAATATTGCTAACAATATGTCACAAGAACCAAATACCTCTGACAAATGCGATAACACCTACTTCGATATATTAACCCATTGACGACCATCACTTCTGGCGGGAAACGCGGAGTGCAGTCCACACGTGGACTGCATGGTCCCGAACGACCAGTTTTTTTGAATTTTAAATTGGGAGCTGTTTAATTTTTCTGAATTCGCAAATTTAGGATATGACTAACGATGATGGTAGGGGGACTCGAATTTTAGTCAGCTAGTGATGGATTCTGATGAGGAGCAGTTCCTCAATCACTAGTTCCTTTCAGAAAAGAAATCATTAAAGGGTCACATGTTTCTTCAAAAAAAAAAACATCGGTGAGGTGTAAAACTGTCTAAATTAGTGCGGAAGGTAGATATGCCCTGAAAACCGAAAGCTAAAATTCAAGTATGATGTCCATGGTTACTGTTATTATCTGTAAAACTGCAAAACCAGAAGATTTCTTGGGACCACACAGTACGTATGTATATAGTTTAACTTAGACCTGATCTTATGTTTTACAAGAAAGATCGTTAAAAAGTGGCGATATAGATGAATAAAATAAAATATACAACTGCAGTCCACATAAGGACTGCATGGTCGTCAATGGGTTAACACGTTGGCGACCATGCGTCCCGATGCCAGGACGCATGTTGTTGGCTCGCTGGGATATTTCTATTATTTATCAGGTGTTCCTGTAATTTTTTCGTGTTTTCATGTATCAGCTGAACTCACAGCCTTCTAGAGAATATCGAAGCATTGCAGTCTAGGAATTATTCTTTTCTAACTACAGATATAAGAGGAAAAAAAGGTTAATGTAAGGACAATATAAAAGCGCGGTCGCCAGTGGGTTAAGAAGCGTTTCGATCCAATGAGTGATGTTACCCCTTATTTCGTTGATTATAAGTTCGGAATTACTCTTTGCTCGAATTCGACCGGTTGACGACTAGAAAACTTGCCCTTCCCCTACAGTTTCAGTAGTCCTAAAATGTGAGGAAGTTCCACTAGGTGGTCAGTTTGGGGTTAAAAACGTTCTGCAAGCGTTCAGACACATTTCACGAATAAACAAAATGAACAAGGACTCAAACTTCCATGTCATGCTCTGCGGCACAGTAGAGTAGCACATGGAAAATGGTTCCGCAACTTTGTTCTGTAAGAGCTGAGATGTAAGAGCTCAGAAAACTTAGTAAAGTAACAAGTAAAAGCACTAGAAAAATCAATAAGTTATAGTCAGGCTCAGCAGCTTAGTTGTTGCCCCGATGATTTCTGCTGATTACAGGGGGCGGCGGCGTGGCGGTACAAAAGCTGGCACGAACAGCACTCGGGAGTAGAGAGGATCGGACACCAACGGACCCTGGACGCTGCCCCGCCGGACTACGACCTTCGCCCCTCACCTTCCACTGCGTTATTCCCTTATTGTATTCTATGTTCTTTCTATGACATATAGCCGACGTTATGGATAAATATTCCTCTGGCACTGTACTATACTGTAGCCGTTCTTTAGCACGGACGCATAACCCAAACTGTTCCCATCATCTTTCTCCAGATTATTGAGAATGCAGATTTGGGATCGGCGTGGTGATATACATTCCATCTTGAATGGAAACTGCGACCAAGTATCCTTCGCAATGACCATCTGACTTCGCACACCCTAAGAATAAACGACTTCAGCTGAATAAACATTTCGAATGGGGTCTCTGGACGGTGGATCACATACATGGAAGTCTCGAAGGGCATTTGTAAGGAAAGTGCGAAGTCGAGATAAAGATAGAGAGTAATATTACGAAATATCCGTGCGGGGGAAGAGCTGCCTATAAAAGGGCACGGATCTTATCCGGTGATTCATTCTTACCTGGAGTCAGTCTCGGATTACCCTAGAAGCGGGATATCTTTCCGACACGCGCGCTAGCCTCATCCCCAAGAAGAGGGGGAGAAACTTTATAAATTGGTGCCCTCAGAAGTAGGGCCAGCACTCTTCCCTCTCGTTAGGATTCATTTAGTGCCATTGTACTTTAAACTTGGTATTGTACACTAATTGTATCTCAACCTTTGTATTATACACTATTGCAATGTATACCAATTGTATTGCTACTACATATCACTTATATCTCGGTGAAGATCTCTTGCCTTAGCTGTAGTGTGTGCCTTAAGGATAAAGCTGTTATTTTACTGCTCTGTTCGAGTCAAGCAAGGTAATCACCAAATTACCGCCAAACCTTACATGGGGGCCAAGCCGGCTCGAACACAGTAAAACAGCAGCATCACCTTGTGACCCAGAAGAGGTTCGCGAGGAAAACTAAAATATCGGTTTCTTTATTGTGAGAAGTCCGAGGTCGGAGGTGACCTAAGCCTGAGCCGTATCGATCGCGAGTCGATCATAGTACCGTACCACGTGCCAAAGTACATTGCAGAGACAGTGTGCCACGGCCATGGAGGAAGACAGCGAGATGGCGCAGAGCCTCGCAGATGAACTCGAAAGTGCAAACCAAGAGTTCACAGAGGAAGCGGATGTGAATCCTACGGTAAGTGAGATTACGAAAGCAGTAGAGAAACTCAGATCCGAGTTACGCAAAATCAGAACAGTAGTAGATGATGCTTTGGGCATGGCATTTCGAACAAATAGCGAAGTGCGAGAAAAGGTGTACAGTGCGGTAAGCGACCAAATTGGAGTAGCGGAATTACAACTGAACAGGGTGAGAACGCTAGCGCTGAAAGGAACTCGACGTTTAGATGAAAAAGTAGGGAAACACTCGAAGTACTAGCCAGCCTATACGGATGCGATATCAAAGAGATAGTACAGCATTCCGTTGAACAGAGCAGTAAAATAACAGCTTTATCCTTAAGGCACACACTACAGCTAAAGCAAGAGATCTTCACCGAGATATAAGTGATATGTAGTAGACAATACAATTGGTATCAATGCATTAGTGTATAATACAAAGGTTGAGATACAATTAGTGTACAATACCAAGTTTAAAGTACAATGGCACTAAATGAATCCTAACGAGAGGGAAGAGTGCTGGCCCTACTTCTGAGGGCACCAATTTATAAAGTTTCTCCCCCTCTTCTTGGGGATGAGGCTAACGTGCGTGTCGGAAAGATATCCCGCTTCTAGGGTAATCCGAGACTGACTCCAGGCAAGAATGAATCACCGGATAAGATCCGTGCCCTTTTATAGGCAGCTCTTCCCCCGCACGGATATTTCGTAATATTACTCTCTATCTTTATCTCGACTTCGCACTTTCCTTACACATTATCTAAAAAAGCGCGATAACATCCAAGCACTACGGCTTCAGAAACATGCTGGAAATGGGCAAAAGTCAGAGGAATCGGGGATGGTGTAAGGCTCGTGAACAACCGAGGGAAAAACAAACGAAATGCTCGAATAGCAGTAACAAAGTGCCCCATGAGCTCGGTCTCCGCTCTTAACATATTAAGAATCAGAATTAATCAGATCTGTGAGGGTAGAACAAAACAGTGCTAGACCAAAACCTCCATGTACGCACTGCAAGTCGATTATTTTAACGCACTGCAAGTCGACTAGTTGATTACGAAAAAGATGGGTTCTATCTGAACCTTGACGATGCCATCAGAACAGATCCGAAAGAGGACACTCACCATGCGAATAAAGATCTGGAAGCCATAGTAGAAGTGATCGTGAAGGTCCAAAAGTGCCGACGTTTTTTTTTACATAACAGTAGAGTAATAGTCGTCAGAAACGAAGAAAAAATGGGTGCTTGACTCGAAGGCAGCCAATATCTAGCAGTAAATTTTACCTTGGGCGGAGGTGGTGTAGTGACATGTGGCGCACTTCACACACTCATGGTCACGGATTCGATTCCCAGATCGATATCTGCCTAGGCCAACCAAGCCTTCCATCCCTCCGGGATACCCTTCGCTTAATTGGTACCAGACTCGTCTGGGAGGATAAAAGCACTGATTTGTACATTGGCTGGCCACCGTAACACTGGCACATCGTCGTTGTATAGGCCACATACGCATTCAATGCGCCACTACGATTCTGAATGGAAGTCGAATGCGTCGGCGCACCCCTCTGACGGGATTGATCGACACCCCAAGACTTTATCCTTACCCTTTACATAGTACCTCATCTGAGAAAGGATAGACAGAAGGTAGCCTACAGCGGCGAAGCAAGAAAAACGGAAATATACCATGAGCTCGTTAAGATAACCCTAAAGGATATCAAGGCACTCCGCATAGCAAGCCTTCCCTATCGGACATAGCCATCAGGTTACCAAGTTAAAGACAGGAACAAAGCGGAGGATCCGTTGGTGGAAGCTACACCAAGCCGAAAAAAGGTCTCAAGCAGAGATAATGGAAGCTGGTCTCCCATATCTCCAAAAACCTACCCGGCAAAAATGGAAAAGTACTCCACAGGTCGTTCTACAGCAAAAGAAACACTGGAGGAGACTCCAGGTCGACCAGAAGGTACAAGGTACTGCGGTTCTGGAATATTGAAGTTCAACGAGTAGCAAAGCAGAAGCAAGCCCACAAGCTGTGGCAAAAGAAGCGAGATCCAGGAGGCCTAGCTGTCTATAAATGTTATAAGGAGTCCCAACTCCAAGTCGAAGTGGTCATTTGAAATGAGATCAATATCGCTAGAAGTGTTTTCAGGTGCTGATTTCGAATCTGAGCCTAAAGTTGCCTAACGATTTTCTAAATGAAGCCATGAAGATGGTTCTAGGTGAATGGTTAACATGAACAAACACGAAAGACATACACGTAACTGCGGTCACAGAAGTGGTTTGAAGCCCTGCTAAGATTGACTTCGATGCAGAAGGCCATGGATTGGGATGAAAACGCGATTTTTGCATTTTGTGGGGGCTTTTTCCTCATACACGAAAAACTTCGCATGCCAATTTTACCGCCCTGAGCGACCTTTTTGATGCTTGAGGTGGTTCGGCTCCTATTCAATCCATTCAATACGGCCACGATTTCTTTGCTCTTCTCATCCACACAATATTCACAACTGGAAACATTTCTAGGTGAGGAGACGCTACTATAAAGCAAAAAATATTTAAAACAAAGAGTCTGAGCAACGGACAAGAAAAAATTACCACGGGCCGCTGTTTCACAACCACTCACTTAACCAGACGTAAAACAGAACTGTGAAGGAGTCTCAAAATCACCTGGCTGAGTGCTTAAAAAGTCAGCAGCATGTCATAACAGAAATTGAAGAGAAATCTACCAGATTCAATAGAACAGGATTGAAAGTAGACGAGTAGCGAGTGTACATGCAAAAGTTGAAATAATGAGCTACTACGTATGAGGTGATGCTTATACTCATATCAAAATTATACAGCTCGTCTTCGTTAAATACGAATTGAGGGAATTATATTTTCTATTTATTTTCTCGTGTCACATCCTTGTGATGTATTACCATATAAATAAATAAATACGAGCACCAGCAACTGATCATTCACTCCTGTCTTTCGCCATACCATCGCCATCCATGGTTGACTCAAGACCCGACGAAGATGGCGGTGAGAGGAATCGTTCAGCTGCATTCGCAGCTCTTTCACGTGGTCTACGAGCGCATCCCACCATCTTACAGTAAGTCTTCATCTAAACCATGAGAATCCTACAGTGGCCCCCACTCAACCGTCCTTCCTGCCCACCCGTCTGCATTTCATCTCTTGTTGGCATTCCTCATGTACTCCACCGGATCGCGAAGACGAGACATTCTGCGCATGTCGGAGCTGTGTAGTCTGGCTCGGTACTGAGGAAGCCGGTTGAGCCTCGAAACAAACCGCTCTGGTGCTTTGTAACTTACGCTCAAAGTCTTTGGCGTAGATGCACTGGTCACCCTAGTCTACGAGAGTAACATAGCGCACGAAAGTGTGGAACCGAACAAACTGGCGCGAAGTCCAGCCGGATTGTCTGTGATTTTATTCAGAAGTCCGGAGGCCGCCCATTCTGCTTTCTGCCGTTCTACTAGTTCTCCCTACATGTCGTTGTCCGTGATCATGGAACGCCAGAGATGACCGTAAGAAGGTTCTCTTGATAGCTGTACCATCAGTCTTAATTTGACCTTCGCCAGCTCAAACATTCTTCATGAACAGTGTCTTCTCTGCAATCATAGTTTCCGCTTCCGCGACGCTTCTCGAAAAAAGAACGTCGTCTGCAACACAAAATTTGAGATGAACCTCCCATCCACACGAATGCCCCTCTCGTCCCAGTCTACCGACTTCATAACCCACTGCAGCGCGGCTGTGAACAGACTCGGCGAAATAGTGGTGTCCTAATAGGGAGGATTGCGTAGGGAGGCTCCATCCCATGGTAAAGCAGTGCTCACAGACCACATTCGTTTCGACAGTGCTGAAAGCTTTTTCATAGTCAACAAAGGTAAGCACAAGGGGCATTCGGGAGTCAGGGAGTCGGCACACTTCGATAACTAGTGCGACCGCTTGGATGTGTTCTAAGCAGTGGAATCCTTTCCGGAATCTAGCCCGCTCAACAGGTTGAGATTCATCCAGCGTTGGCGATATGCGGGTTAGAATGCTCTTCGTGAACAGCAGTAAAGAACACTCAACAAGCCTATTGGGCGGTAGTTGCAAAGATCATCCCGGTCTCCTTTCTTCTGAAGAATGGCGATCCGCGAGTTTCTCCACTGATTGAGGATCCTCTCCTTGTGCAGGTAGGACGTCATGCGTGTTGCGAAAAGCGCGTGAAGTTCGTAACCACCTGCACGGGGCAGGATTGCTGAAATCTTGTCAGGGCCGGGAGTTGTACCCCTTTCCATGCTTGCAATCGCAATTATCACTTTCGGAGGAACGGAAACCCCCGAAAAGAACCTGGGAACTTCCAGAGAATGCTGTTTTTCAAGGTGGGATTTCTGGATTATCACATGAATCTGAAGTCTGCAGGATCGGATGGTATGGCAGTCGGCATAAGGCGAAGAAAGCTCGGGTTGTTCACGACGCCTTGGATTTAGGACCCCCTCTACATGACACGGAGGCTGTTTCCTACTTGATACCTACAATGCGGGCAAGATTTCTTCCATTGGCGCTCTTCAAGAGCTCCTCGAAGCGACTCGCCACGGTATGTATCACGCGATTGCCGCAAGAAACCAAGAGCAGGAGGATCGACGTAAGAAGAAAGAATGATGGAACCCCTACCATTCGGGGTGAAAATTTCCCATGTGAAACGTCGGTTGGCTTTGTCGTGCACCGATCGATTCCCACGAGATCCTGTCTCCTGGCTTTGCCACCTACGCCGATGACATGCGCACCTGAAGACCATCGTCAACTGTTTTTTTCCACACTCTACAGCTGACGAAGTAGGCCTCGATGCGTTTTACTACCAGCTGGAGTGAAACATCCACAACGAAAAGTTCTAGAAATTCGTTGTTGGATTTCAACACTAAGCTTGGCGAAGCATCAGAGGAGGAGAACAGAATTGGAAGGTTTGGAATGGGGGACAGAAACGAGAACGGAAACTGTCTAACAGGACTTCTCTCTGCGGCTCGACTCTTCCGCGGCAAATCAATTTTCGAGAAGAAAGGACATCGCCGCTGGTCATGGAAGTCTCCAAAGGTACAACTCATGCTGAACTGGACCACATATTAAGAACAGAAAGTGGTGCTTACTAGCTGTTGTTGTGGTACCATCTTTTTGCAGCGGTTCTGATCATCGACGCTTTCGCACTAAGATCAGATTCAGTCACAAGCTGGAAAGATCTTTCAACATCGGGCAAGGAGCTCGAAGCATGCTGTATGCAACAGAGAGGTTCTGAACGACGCTTTGTCTCCGATATGACCCACAGATCATGAATGCCCCGACCGAAGGCTACGACGCGCTGGTTGGGGGTCTCCTCACCTGTGCTGAATAAAACAAGTTTCGAGTTCGAGTGGAAGTTTCCCCTCACGTTTCACTTGCGACGAGGGACCTACTCAGGACAAGAAGAAGCTTGAGGCTTGACCAGAACGCCACACATCTTGAAAGGTTGCTTAGCAAGTATCAGCTGCAGACAAGCAGTGCGGCGATATCTTCAGCTACACAGGGAGATGAGACCACCGGAGGCAGCCCTAAACAGAATCAGTGTGAAGCAATACCATCGGGATTTTCAGGACCACAGAATTCGACTTTCATGTTTGAAGAAGGAGGACGGCAAACTTACAACGAATAGACTAGACATGGAAGAAGTTATACGGTGGTTTTATGCTAACTTGTGCCAATCCACGACACACATTAGGCGATCCAGTTAAACATATTTTCACGCGGCCATAAGAAAAAAAGGTCCAGTAGGTGTAGTAGCGTCATAGTACCAGATGGGGTGTTCATTACCTTTAGCTTTCATGTGGAGATAGTGCAAAATATAGTCTGATGATCTTTGAAAGAGTCCAAAAGACCCTCACCAGCAAAACTGGTGTTGATAAATCCAGAGCGGCTATGCACGATCGCACCCACCCAAACATCGACTGACTGCTCATCATATTCATTTTACTCGCTCACTCAGATCTCCAATTTCCGCGCACGAAAATGCCTAATTGTTTACGCGAAAAATCGCCAACAGGTTCAAACCAATTTTAGGTTGATGAAAGTAGGTTACGCGGAGTATAATGCGGAGATCACATGAAGAGGCTTTCTCGTCCCCGACGAAAAAGCACAGCAAATGCAAAGATCGCATCCCTCACAAAATGCGACCCTTGATCTCGTGAATATAAAGCGTCACGCCTACCAATGCTCCAAGCCGCCGCTGTGAGCTCAGTTACGTCCATGACTTTTGTGGTCGTCTATGGTAAAGGGTAAATGGATAGTCTCAGGGCATTAATCAATCCTGTCTGAGGGACGCGCCCACGCAATCGAGTTCCATTCAAAATTGTAGTGGCGCATCAGATGCGTATGGCACCTATACACCTGCGTGGCCAGCCGATGCTCTTATACTCTCAGTTGAGTCTGGTACCAAGTGACCGACCCCGGAGGGATGGAAGGCTTGGTTGGCCTACGCATATCGAGCAGGGACTCGAACGCGTGGCCATGCGTGTGTGAAGTGCGTCACATGTCACTACACCACCTCCGCTGTCTTTTATGGTAAGCGCTTGGGACTTCATTGACAACACCATCCAAGTAATTAATTGGTAAACTTAGAAACTTTTAAGAGCACGGCATGATAAAAGTGAACTCTGAGATTCCCTTTAGAATAAACCTGCGTCTCCAGGGATTGAACATGGGACATTGTCGGGCCGAAAGTGACCTAGATATCGCATAACTAGGGTTCCAGTGCCGGTTGGCCGACGTTAACATTCAAAAACCATAAGTTTATATATGTTGTCCATTGGATAATAGGAGAACACAGCGATACGGGGTAAAGATTCACATACGCTATCCATGGATGAGAGTAACACGGTAGGGACGAAATGAAGGTCTCATAAGGTTTACATACGGGATACATTGGCTAAGAAGAAAACACGGTGGAGACGCGGTGATGGCTCATGCACGGTATAAGATGAACAATAGGATAAGATGGTAGGGATGTATTAAAGACTTACACACGCTATCCACTGGATAAGAGGAAAACATGGTGCGACGAAATGAAGGAATATGCAAGCGTATGCGAATATTCGATCCATCTCGCTGTGTATTCGATATAAGGTTTGCATGCGGTGCGGTGGATAAGAAGAGAACACGCTAAAGCCGGAGTTAAGGTCTATATACGGCATCTTTTGAACCAGTCGGATCACACGGCTAACGTCAGGCTCTCCTCCATCGTGAGTTAAAGTTGACTCCTGCATTCTTCAAAATTTGACTGCTCTTCTTCGAAGAACAAGGGAACGGGGATTTCCAGCAAAACTCCCATACACACACCAACTCACCCCATGCGCTCCCCACCCGCCATGGGCGAAGTGCTGCTCAAGTCCTGCGGGTTTGAGTAATTTGGTCCGTTCCCCACTCATCCCGAATTGACTGCGTACCTTTACTCAGATTATGCTCATTCCACGCATACTGCGCCCCTCGATCTGTCTTGATCCTGCCGCCTTCGCTTCCACCAAATTTGATGTCCCATGCTCAAATTAGCAATTTTGACGCACGGCTCGCCCCAGTGGGCAAGGTTGAGTCCTGCCACTACCATAAGTTATCCCATTCTGCCGCCTGCACTCATACAAAGATTGAAATCCTAGGGTCTAACTGACAAATTTCGCGCATGCCCCNCCCCCCCCCCCCCCCCGAGGGCGGGGTTCGGTCCCGCCACTACCATAAGAGGTCCCATCCTGCCACCTGTACTCCCAAATTTGAACCAACTAGGTCGACGGGAACGGAAGTCGTTAATTTCCGGTCGACCATACACACAAACACAAACAAACAAACGCACACACAAGCATACAGACATACCAACAGACACGCCTAACGCGTCATATATATGTATGTATGCATGTATATATATATATATACATATATATATATATATATATATATATATATAACCACTCGGTTCGCCCGACTAACGCCGGGCTTCCCTCCTTCTTTGACAAAAGTTGCAGTAATCGGCTGACTTTTTACTACTTCTTTGAAACAAATAACGTTTCCTGTAAACGAACTCCGACACAAAACCAACAGGGCAGTGCAAGTAGTATTCAGTGAAAGTCGATGCTTACACCTCTGATCGGAAGTGTCGATCTTTTGCTCTTTCAAAAAATAAATACCCATTAAAAATTTAACGGTTAGACAACCAAAGCCTTGGGTGGTACTTACAAAGGTTTCGTGCGATGAAATCACCATTATTGGATGACGTCATCAATGGACTTTTCTCTTTACGGAGAGATCATTAGTTGAGAATTCAAAATTGCTGGCGGTCGGTTAAGTTTTGTTGCAAATGATATGAACAAAGAGGATCCTTCATTAAGTCACTAACCTTGCTGGGTAGCGGTCGTAATCTAATGGCAATATATGAACAAAATTCTCCTCTGCTTGTCATATTGCCGCTGATGGGTCCCTATCGCTGCACTTACCAATCACTCTTGTCACCCTACCTTAGCATCCCGCTTTATCGAATGAAACATACTGAACGGTCAAAGCTACATCGTAGTACATCGTATAAGACATTAGGAGTTTGATCGGAAGGGGGCTCTCTGAGGTCCCTTATCTCTCTTCTTAGTTATTATCAGTTCCTGTCACCGAGTACATACGGTGCCGTCAAATCCTACATTACTTACATGAATGTTCCCATCCCGCCTCCTGTACTCTCACCAAACTTTTACGCTCTAGATCTACGTAAACAGGGGTTACGAATTTGCGGCCAAAACTTCTATCGCACACAAAACGCACCGACAAACCAACACACCTAGGGTACTATATATATTGGGTTGTCCGAAAAGTTTCCGCCGATTTTTGACACCCCGGATTTATCGACCGTTGTACAATAG